GGAGGATGCACATGCTCGGAGGAAAATGGATGAGGAGATTAGCAAGCCTTGGCCAATTAAGCACTTCCTCTTTTCTTAAAAATGAAATTAAAATGTTTTTTTTTTCTGTGCCTTTTCTTCTCCCTCCCTCCCCCTTCCCCAGCAGATTAATTCTAGTGGCAGTGCTGAGCACAGCTTAGCCGGAGAGATGCTACACCAGGGGTGGGACAGAGTGTGTCTAGTCCCAGAAGATACCATTAAAGATTAAAGGAAACTCCAGACTTAAATTTTAAACAGCTCTGAGCTCCTTGCAGAGACTGCTACTAATTAGAGCATCAAGTTTTGTGGCAGTTATCATAAGGTGATGACTGCCAACAGAGAACTGCATTAATAGTAAACTTTTATATTGTGTATAGGCTGATGAGATGTAATTTCTTTCTGTAACAATTTTAGCCTAGTTTGGACTGTTGAACTAGGGGTAGCCAATATGGGAGAGCAATGGAAGGGTAATTATCCTTCTAAACTACTTAAAATACTTCCCAGAAAGGCTGGGAAGATGATGGATGGCCACAATCAGGAAGCAGACACCCTTACTTCAGATTTCCTTGCTGTTCTGAGTCATTAATTCATCCATATCTTAATCAGGTCCGGGAAAGGAGGGGAGAGAGACAATTTTTATTTTGCAGTAGAAAGTTCAATTTTTTGTTTTGTCTGAGTTATCTGCTGTTCCTCTGCTTTCTGACTCTGGGTTGGCTGGAATTGCAAATCTTATCTATTACAAAGTATGAGCTAATCCTAGAAGTACAAAGAGTTTTCAAAGTAGGCTTGGTGTTCCTTCAAGGTTGCCCTTTGAGTTTTGGACCTGATAGGTTTTCCAAACTTTCTGAGAAATCAGGAGAGTTCATGATAATTTCTTTGTGATAATTCAGACTATTAATTTGGAATATGTGTGGAAAGGTGAACTATAATGAGAATCAGTGTCTACTAGGTTAAACATCCAGTGTTGGATTAGCATAGGATACTGCTGGGAACATTTCATATACAGACAACAGGTTCACTGAGATAGCTAAGAGAGCCTTTGATCTCTTTAACAGGACTATGACTTCAATAAAGAGAAAAATCATTTTCAAGTAGACAGACATGTCCTTTCCCTCTGACAGGATAGGTTTAGAATTGAAAACTCAGTTCCCAGTTATGCAAGGAAATTCATGACCTGCATTTTTTTACTTTAACTATGGTGAGTGAGTGTGTTTGAATTTTTGATTGTCAGACATCTCTCATATCACAATCTGTTAATATTTACCTGAGGTCTTTCTAGAGATCATAATTCATAGAGAAATTGGGTGTCTAGCTTTCTCTTAGTGAAGAGGGTGAGCAGGAAGCAAAGCTGTGCAGATGCATGTGTCTTGCTGGTCATCATGATACCCCCATGTATCACTGAGAAAGGGCTGTGAGAACAGACTACTTGTAAAGATCACAAAAGGCCAGATGTGGGGAGGGCATTAACATCTAAAATTATGCCTCCTACAGGAAGAAAAGCAGTGTAGAAAGAACATTTTTACACAGAAATTCTGTCATTCTGGATGACACAGCTTGTCAGGAGGGCTCTTGTCTTTGGACCTCCAGCTGAGGAAACTGGCTTCTCAAGAAGCTTCATCACAGTGGGCAGGAAACCAAGTGGAGAGGCTTGGAAAAATAAACTGGCGTAGAAAAAGAACGAGGGGGGAATTTTCCTGCTGTCCATCTTCCCCACAATGATTATTACAAGGGAGGAGACGACTATGTTTTGTGTAGTCAGTTTTGGTGCTTTTATTTTTTATTTCTTGCAGTGCATGTTCAGGGTCATTCTGCCTGTATCAGAGAAGTCATTTCCTTGTTTTCAAATAGTTCTCCAAGAGTATTTCTTCAGAGAGGAGAACTGTTATTCTGAAAGGATTTCTGTCAGATGCAGAAGAGATTTGAGATACTTGCATAGTGGTTAGTGACCACCATTCATTGGCTGAATTATTTATTGCTCCTTAGCACTTCTGGTCTGGTGAGGGTGTATGGAAGGTGGGCCTGCTGTCAAATTCTGTCATATCCTGCAAGGTGCTCAGCATAGACGGGTTGGGTGTTGCCAGCTCCTGATGAAGGAGCTTTAGCTCTTGATGAAGCCAACAGGCTAGGCCTCGTTTGGGCCAAAGCGTCCCAAAATATTCAAAGCTGGTGTTTCTGTAAACACCATCCACCATTAGTTTGTTCTGGTAAGTGGAACATCAGATGGTTTCTCAGGCATGCCTAGTATTTACTTATATGACGGAGGTTCTCTGTGCCTTTGGGATCTGTAGATAGGGAACCACCTCTCTCCTTCCATTTGCTCCATTCCCAAACTGTTATCAAATCAAATGTTTATTAGTAAAGAAAGGAGGGGACTGGTGAAAATACTTGATTTTTCCCTTTGGTCCTCTTGGATCTTTCCACCCCATAAAGAAACGTAAGTCTAAAACCAAACTTAGCTACCAGTGAAAGCAAAGGGAGAGTGTTGATGAAAAACTGCCACCCATGTGAGAGTTGAAAGATAAAATGTTCTGAGGCAGGGTATTTTTATCTTGGATAAGAAACTAATGTCAGACTTTATAGTGTATCTTTCTACTTCTGTTGGATGTTGGTTTATGTCAGAGTATTTCTTTATCTTCCTTATGTCCACTTGGCATCTCCTCATTTTTTTTTATTTCAGGTTTGCTATGATCCAAAGAAAAAAAGCTTTGACAGTGGAAGTTGATCAGATTCATTGCTGTGATTAGATGATTACACTTCGACATGTGACCTTTTTTTAAAAAAATATTCCCCCACAGATTAATTCCACGTTATCATTTGGTTACCATTCTCAAATATTTTTTGGAATAATCTTCAGGTTGTTCTTAGAAATATTCATTTCATCTCCTTGCTCTTCCTATTTTTGTTGTGTGATTGCTCATTGAACGTTACCACTAGTGGCCTGAAATCTTGTTTGTATGCTGTCTTGTGTCTCCCTTCTGAGCTACTTCTGCAGCTAAGTGCAGTTCAGAAATGGTGGTTCTTACCACACTTAACGCCCATAATCCTTGATGAAGAGTTTGTTCTTTGCACTGTGATAGCTTCTGTGCAGGATTTGATTTCTGTTCTGTGAAGTCAAGTAAAATAAAATAAGAAAGATGACAAATGGATAGAACAGCAAAACTGCTTGCCTTGAAGCCTTTGCCAAGGCGAGTCTTTTTCAATTAGTGCCAAAATGTGGAGCCACAGCTCTAATATAATTGAATAAAAGCAGAGAATCAAAGGCCATACCCCCCCAGGCTCTCCCCCTTCTATGCCTGACCAAGTAAAATATAAGAAGCGGTAACAAAGTCTTTCTTACCCTCTGTTTTTTCTTGATAAACTGTATTTTGTAAAAAATGAAAAACATAAAGCGTATTATTTTAGGAGACAAAATCTGTACATGAGAGATTCTGAATTGCAGGGTGGCATGCATGTGAACTGAACTCTGTAAAGCCCAAAGGTGATGGGTTCTGAAATTGTTTCAGCTGAAGATATTGTTCAAGTATTATATGTGGGCTAATGCTTCTAGGTGATAAATTATCTTCTCTTGAATTTTAGTTTAGGTTAGATGTTTTTTCTGTCTAAATTAAGATGATAATATTTTGCTTACCTCAAAATAATGCTACATGAATAGATGTGTTAACATTATAAGTTTTTGAATACGAGGATCATAGAAGTCATGTAAGAATTTGACAAATACCTATCTATAAAGCAGGTTTCTTGTGAGGAAATGCAGATTGCTTTTCCCTTTCATTCTTATGTAAACATCATGCAGTGGGATGCAGCTCAGCCTGCAAATGTGATCTGTGTTTTGTTATGAATTGGAGTGGCTGCATCTTGGTTCTCTGCAGAAGATATCCTCTTCCCACAAAGTGCCATCACTCCCCAGAGGGGTTGAGCCCCTACCTGGTGACAGCTGGCTCCAGCATCTGGAGAGTTTGGGTTTTGGTGTGTTGGGTTTTTTTTTGTTTTGTTTTTGGTTTTGTTTTTTACATAATTAGGTGGCTGTTGGCCCTGGTGCTGAAATAATAGTATGTCACTCATTTTGGTAAAAGTCTATTAAACAGTGAAAAGCCACCATTTGCTTGAAGAGCAACATTGTCACTTTCTCCAGTTGCAAGGTGGAAAGCACTCACATAGTCCGCATGAGGTGCTGAGAACTTTCTCATGTTTAATTAATATTAATTTACTATTTATAAAGTGATAAAAAGGTTCTTGTGGTTTTTGTTACACCTGCTTTTAATTTTAAAGGCATTTTAATCCATTTGCTGCATGACAATATTTGTCAGCACCAGGTAAATAAGACCTTCAATATGACCTACCCTGTTGTGCCTAGTTAACAGGCGAGGCTGGGAAATAATATGCAAACTCATTTCTTCTCTCTTATCAGAAGAGATCAGTTCCCAAAGTGACATAGATATTGTTGGTGTAGGTGATACCTTTAACCATGGTGTCACTTTAAACCCCTGGGCAGCACTTACACCCTTGGGAGTGTAATGCTGCTGAAGGGAACCACTTGAGCTGAAAGTCAGAGACTTTCTCTACATTGAATTTCTTCCTGCTCAAGGGAGCAAAGCTGATGGGTTCAATCAAGAAACCATTATTTTTACTGGCTTGCAGTCAGGAGCACTGAAGTGACTTTTTTTTTCTCCTGGCCTTTTTGTTTTTTCCCTTATCCCTCTCTATCCCTCCCCCTTCCTTTCACTTGACACCTGTCCCTACCTTTGGAGGATGAGATAAGCAGAGAACTCTGTCCCTGTAAGAGACAAGGAGCAGAATATGCCTGCGCCAAGAGGGCCAGAGCAAGAATCAAACCTCTTCTGGGCAGGCAGGCGTGGGAGAGATCCTTTGCTGCAGGTTGCTTTCTGGAGTGCTGTCTGTGGGATTTTGTCGCTGTAGTAAGTACTATTGGAAGCAGGCTTATCTCTTTGTTGGCATTTTTTTTTCCCCCCTTTGGAGTCATCATGCTGCAGCAAATTTTGCGTGATATGTATATTGATCCTGAGCTCCTGGCAGAGCTGAATGAAGAGCAAAAGCAGATCTTGTTCTACAAAATGAGAGAAGAGCAGCTGAGACGTTGGAAGGAGAGGGAAGAAAAAGCACGTATGGAGGAGGCCATGCTGAGGAAAACAGCTAGGCGCAAGCAGAGTAAGATTTGTGACTTCCTTTTATCCTTAAGAGCTGGGGATGATGGGCATGCAACTGGCTATGGTACAGCATGTATCTGGAAGAGATTATAAGGAAGGGTGCCAGCTGTCCCCATAGGCAAAAAGACAGTCTGGACCAGCAAAAGCACAATGTTCCTGGTTCATGTCTCTCAAGGCTGGTTCTTTCTCCAGGGTAATAGTTTACTGTGGGAGTAAAGGGAATAATTTTGAAGTGCCTCTTTCAGTCAGGAGTCACTGAATAGAATTCTCTCAGTGGTAACAGATGGACCGTGACCAAGTATCCACTCCTATGGCTTTTTTCTTCACCTACCATCCCCACCCCTCCCCCTCAGGTAAAAGGCAGTCTTGCCTGTGCTGTTGAGATTTCTTGACTTGGTATTAAATGTTTCCAGGTGGCTGGACTAGGAGATAAATTCATGAATTTGGGCTTGTTACGAAGGGTAGATTGTGAATAAGAAAACAGCCAAACCACATGTGACTACATTTCCATCTGTACTAGTAAACACTCTTCAAAAGATTATGTCGAGGGAATAGGATAATAGTGGGGCAAGCATGTACAAAAACCCAACAGCAAAACCAGAAAAAAAACAGAAATGTGTTTCATATTTCATGTAACATGTAGTTAAACTATGGAGCTCCTTCAACAGGCTGTTACAGATGCTACATGTGTTGACTTATAAAGCAGATAAGCAAAATCATGGAAAAAAACATCAAAAAAGTACTTCTCCAAATTTAATTTCCAAGTGTCTGGTCTTGGGTCCATGTGATTTTGAATAAACAGAAATACTTATTTCCTTGCTCTCTTTTCTGAACAAGTGGCTTCAAAATCTTTCCCCATTCACAGGATGAAGTTTTTAGGCTGTTGTGAGATAGAAAACATTTTCATCTTGGAAACGTAGTTGCAGTGATTCCTCACTCAACAAGGAAATGTCACAGAGATATGTCACACACTCCTTTCCCTGTGAAATGGCACAGATCTTATCCCATCTTTGAATCTATTAAAACTTGAATATTCAAAAATTCTAATACTTTTGGGTAGCTGATTTTGAGAAAGCTCCCTAGTAGCTATGTGACTCTGCAGTCAGTGTTTAAAAGGTTACAGATGTTAACAGAGCCATGGTAGAAAGCTTTGCTTGGAGCACCTCAATGCAGATAGATTATTGGATTCAGTCATCAGAATTCTTAAAATTTTTAGAGCCTCTGAACCCTGCAAAGTGCCCATTAGACAGTTAACAATTCAAAGACTATTATTAAAGAAAAACTTGTTTCCAAGACTCACTTGAAGCGCAGGCCTTTATGAAATGATTCTAGAGTTAAGTTACCATGGTACCCCTAAAATAAGGAAGGAATGTTCAGAACACCCTAATCAGCCATAATAGGAGTTTAAAATGTCCCCTCACAGACGGCAAGGTGGATGTTTGAAAACCTAATTCTATTTGATGTCTATTTTCTTCATGTTAGTGTTCTTACTGTGAATGGTGCTCTTCAAAGAGGGATGGCATCAAAATAGGTTCCCTCATACAGAACAAAACCCTTGTTCATTTTCATTGATTTGTAGCTGAGGGAAAATTCAAAATGCAATTTAACTCCACATACCAAAACAGTCAAACATATAATTGAGACAATCTTTATTATGCTCATTCTTTGAGAAAGACAGATGCAGAACTGCAAAAATATTTATGTGATGATTTGTCGCAGTGTTGACCCCTGAATTTCAATATATAAATTATACATTAAACGTGTTCAGCTTCCTACTATGGGAGACCACTTCCTGGGTAATTAATTCTCTGACTTATAAAGTATGAGAGGAAGGAGAATAGCAGAGTAACCTATAGATTGTATTTGCTCTGACAAAAATATTCACAAATACACAAGGAGTTAAATTTCACAGTAACCTATTTCCATTCTATGTTCTTAAATTGCCAGTTTAGGTATTGCTTATATTTGACTTTTGCCCAGTGTTAGAAATTTTCTGCTTCTTTCAGGACCGCACTGAAGAACTGGTCTTACTGATTTTTTTGTAGAGAGAGCTGTTGGAGTTCGAGTTGCAAGTCAGGCATTTGGTTCCACTGAAAATATATTTTGATTTCCATGAACTGATGTGGACCAGAGTTAGAAAAGATAGTCCACCTTTCAGGAATGCTGGTAATTAACTATACAGATACTTGTAACTGATTTCTACTGTATAGTTCCATAATATGATGGTAAATGGTCTCATAGTGGAGCTAGTTTCTTGTTTAAAAAAAAAAAAAACAAAGGTGAAAAAAGTCAACCAGAAATTATGGTGTAAGATAGGAATTACGGTGCAGTATTTTTGTTTGTATGACTCAAAGGGTCAGAGTAGATGATTGTAATAATTCTTTATTATCTTAAAATATATGATGATTTTTTTGCTAAAAGATATTTCACATCAACATTTTTTGGACCTTGAAGCTTCTTAGTTTTCAGCTTCCACTGATGTATAAGTGAATTTCCAAACATTCTCCCCCTGCTCCACAGTGTAGAATATGGAGTATTTTTATTCATGTTTAAAATTAGTGGCTACTGGGAAATTTAGAGCTACTGCAATTATGTGTTCTTTATTCCTTTGAAACTGAGGGATTTGAGGAGTTTCATCTGCAAGGTTTTGTGTTTGATTCTCTACCGCATGATGCAGGTTGTATGTTCATGCTATTTTGTTGAAGGCAAGAGTTACTCTGACTTTATAGAGATCTTTGTAGCCTGACATATAGTAGAAAACAGAGGTGAGACTTCAGTATATATAATGTTGTGCCAAGTTTCTGAGATTTTCTAGTTGACAGAAAAATGTGTATGTTGTTCATGAATACAATGTAATATTTGTATAAAATAATTTTTTACTAATTTACTCGGAATTATCTTTATAGGAATACCTTTCAAATCCTTTTGTTTTCTTTATAGTTTGAAGAGCTACAAATGAAAATTTTACCCCACATCTTTGGGTTGGGGTAGGGTGAGATAGAACAGAAGGAATTACTGACAATGGGCACTTCTCTAATTAAAAATGCCCCAAAAAAGTGTTTGGGTGTGATCTGTAGTCTTATACCCCAATTGGTCCAATTCTCCATGAATTCAAGAACTTACCTGCAATGGTATGTGTGAACCTAGCAGCATAGCAAAAGGGGCAGATTTTTCAAAACATAGTGGTGATTGTGAATCCAGTTTTGATTTTCTGCAGTGACTTGAGGACGAAGGGTTCTTGTGCAAGGTTTAGATGTGTTGTCTTGCAGAAACCACAAGTGCAGAGTTGGAGGAGGAAAACAGTAGCCTATGCAAGCCACATTGGCTTTGCACTAGAGTTAAAATCACCAGCAGGTTTAGGGAATAGTCATCAGTGTGATCATTTTTTTAATTGTTTTGAAACTTAACTAGCAAAGGCCCAAAATCTACAGTGATCTTTACAGAAGTGTCACTGAATGCAGATTGTGCGTAAGTGTCGTGTCAAGTACTATGAAATTTGTTTCTTAGGAAACAGAACGAAGTCCACAGCATGAAATAAGATGTAGGTTGTTGAGAGTGTTTAGCAAGCCAAATAGTGTAACAGTCTATGTGTAATTAGTCTTATTCTTAATTTATAAAGAAAATAATATTAGTCACCTTCAGTAAATGCTAAACTGTGCCTGGTTTTCCATTTGGATTGTTTGGTTTCATGTGTCTGGAGGAAAGGTTAAAATTGAAATTTGTATCAGAGTGAGTCAATGTTAAAGAAATTATTTCACATTGGGGTGAATGAAATGTTTTCAGATTATTCAATAGTATTAATTTCCTTTGCTTTTTAAAAACACTGATTGATATCAAAAGGGAGCAATATATAAACATCACTTCAGAATGAAATAGTTCCTTCAGAAGTTGTTGAATAAACGTTTCCCATGTTTTTGCTGTTTGTACCTAGCCTACATTTGTATCTTGCCTAAAAATCAGTAGAATTTGAGCATCATTTAGATCCTCCCAAAACTGTGGTGTTTAGTGAATTTATTCAAGGTAAAAGAAGTATTTTGTAGCTTTAATTAAATCACGATTGCTGAGTTGTAACAAAAAAGCTTCACAAGTAAGTTGTATTATTTGAGTTCCATCTCCAGTTCATTTATAAATTACTCCTGGGCAGATCTTTCAGGACATGTTTTCATTGTAGTAAAACAGGTTGCCTTTTCTTATTGTGCTAAAATCACTAAAGGAAGTCTCAAAATTTCAAGTTCCCTTTGGGATTTACTGAGAGTTGACTGACAGGCAGCTTTGCAATTTGCAAAGAACTATGTTTATTTGATTAGGCAGGAACCCTTTAACCAGTGTAGCTGAGTTGGGAGTAAGGCAAAGGACCCTGCCAATTTGGATTTTGACTCTGAAACAGTATGAAGAGCTGTCAGCATACCCAAAATGAGATCTCAAAAACTATTGAGCACCGGGTAGCTGAAGGGCAGCCATGTGGGAGGGAAGACAATGCTGGTCTGCTGCTGCTTTTTCTGACATTTATTCATTGTGAACTGCAGCTCATGATGTTCAGGCAGGAGCTATTTGTAAACACTTTTATTTACCTGTCTTTAACAAGAGTAGCTGGAAGAAAATTAGGTAGGCTTATCACAGCGTGGCTGGAAAATAATTTCTTTATCAAAATGGCATTTGTGTTAGAAAATCATTAGAGAATAGATTAAGCTATTTGGAAGCAAGTGTTTCAAATATCACCAAGGGGTGGTTGGACGATACATCAGTGTCACATGTGAAGGCCTGGGGGTGGACGGGTGTTTCAGTGTGTGTGTGACAGGTGAGTGGTCGTACATGCAGTGACATGTCCTACGGAGATGTGCTCCTGGCAGCATTTGTTGTCTTTTTCTCTGTATCATGGGATGTGGGTCTAACCAGAGACAACAGACTTAAGTATTTCTGAAATTTCTGGTTGTATGTGGTCTTGAATTCTGTAGAGCCCTGTCTTTTGCTTCCAATTCAGATACAACTGAAAAACTAACA